TTCTAAATTAGTAGGAAGCACACAAAAAAAACAAAAAAAACCCATTTAAATCATGTTTGGGAGGAATATTATGAAAAAAAATAGTCAGTTGACCAATCTTGGAGTTTTTAACTTTACAACTGAGACAAACTGCTCTGTTTTTAATAAAAGCAGTGTAGGAGTAGAAAACATGCATGTAAATGTGCAACCTGAATAAAACCTTTCAAACATTTAGCTGACAGAAACGCCTGCTGCCAGAAATAGAAAGAAAGAGGACGGCCTTTGTTTTGTGTCTGCATTAAAACAGCTGATGAACTCTTCTGGGTTATTCAGTAAAACTGTACAGACTTCAGGCAAGAAGGCTGACAGTTTACGAAGTGGCTCCATTGTTCCTTTAAGGCAACAGCTTGAATGGACCCCCACAAACTGACATGATTCAACTAGACAACAAGAAAACGCGGAAAGAAAAGCTTCTCCTCTCAGATGCATTACCATCAGCATAATGTCCTTCTTTGAATATCTATACCAGAGCAGTGAGAGAGATTGCTGTGTTACTGTGCTCTAAAGATCGAAGCAACAAAGAACCTGCTGCTGGTTGTTGCAGCAAAGCTTTATGTAAAAATGAGGAAAGACATTTATACGGAGCAGCTTCGCAAACATTTTGCATGAATTTTGGCAAACATGAGCAAGCTGTTAATTTGAAAAAATCTTGCTTTCGATGAAAACCCTGATTTATAAATCTAATATATCATAGGAAAACATTGTTAAAGAAGTGTCACATTAAATAATAGCTTTTCTAGAAACAATTTTCCAGCTTAAAGGGCAATGCCAGGATTAGTGGATACCTGTTTAGGACCCAAATGCAGAGCTGAAGAGGCAGAGAGGATTTCTTAAAAAATGTAATGAAGACGTAAATATACAGAAGCCATAATCCAGAAGGAACTCAGGAACCAAAAACTAGGAGACAGCGGGGAGGAATAAACCAAACGAATTGGGGGGTGAAGAGAATCCAGCATTGAAGAACTACACAAGAGGTGTATATATGGGAGATAGACTTAAGAACAGGCTAATCAGCTAATAGGGAGCAGGTGAGACTGGGTTGGGATAGGAGCAACTAGAAGGGAGCTAAGGGAAAGGAGACTGGAACTAAGGGGCAACAAAGAATAATCCCAAAAAATACAACCCTGCCCAAATATAACTAGAAAACAACTAGAATGACACAAAATGGAAAGGAAACCAATGACCCACTAAACACAGAATAACATAAATCTGAAAACTGAAAACTAAAAAAGAAAACTTAAATAGAATCTGAATGAAATATGAATATATGCATTATACACATATGAGTTATTTTAAATGATTCCTCAGGCCAATATACAGCACTTAACACCATGCTATGAGCGGCGCTCCCCTCTTGAAATACTGAGTAAGGAAGTTGGGAGAAGATGCACCGTCATTGGCCAGGTCATGACCTGGAAGAACGTATGGCTTTATGGCCACAGGCTCTTATATAGTCATGGAGCAAAGGCTTTTGCTCTATTAATCTTCCACCTGCTCGACCACCGATCATGGCTGAGGCAAGGAAAAAGGTTAAACTGTTTGAGGCTAAATAGAGAAAATGTGAAAAGGATCGAGGACAAACAAGAGTAGATTATGGAAAGGAGTTTGTTCGTTGGCGCAGGCTGAAAGAAGAAGCCGGTTGTAAAACCGATTCTCTTCTCACAACTTTATTATTAGACTGGTTCACATTTTGCTCCTAGTATACAGTCAAAGATCTTTGTTATTATTTTTGATGTTTAGTAGAAGAAAAATGCAGGTTGTAACAGGTCTGGTGCCCCTAGTGGCCAAAAGTTAGTGTTGTCTCATTGTAAAGCATTGACCTTATTAGTTTTTTTTTGTCCGTGCATGCGTGTTGAAACTCTCTTAGGGCATAGGGCTTGGAATCCTGAGGTTCTGAGTTTGAGCCCCCCTCCCACAGACTGCAAGACCCTTAACCCCCACACTGCTCCCTGGGAACCCCACATTGGCAGCCCACTGCTCCCAAAGGGGATGGGTTAAATGCTGAGGCAAATTTCTCCAATGTGAGATCAATAAAATTCAATTATTATTAATTTAGAGTCATTTTCCTCCAGCTGCTCTCCTTCCTGTCTGCTCAGTAGATGATTAGCTCATCTAGTTAGCCTGATCTCCCTCTACTCCTGCCTCAGTATTCTTACCTTTACTCTTTTTTTTTCCTCACTGGATCCTTCCATTATCGTACCTGGTTAGCAATGATCTGCTTTGCTCTGTGGTCCATGTCCAGTTCCCCTTGTGCCTGATTGCTGTTGTTGCATTTTTGTTATAAAATAAATAATTGTCTGCATTTCATGCTGCTCCCAGATCCCTGTTTATAATTTGATCCAGTTCCTGATTTAAGAAACATTACCCAGGATTGTAAAATACATTAAGCTAAGTATAGGCAACTTTTTTTTTTTTTAACAGAACTGAGCAAATAATTGCATTTGAAATTTCTCACGTAAAAAAAAAAACACAATTTCAAATCTCAGTGGCATCCAAGTTAAGTCACAAACTGAAGTCAGGTGGAGATCCCAGTGAGGGCAACAAGCATGCAAATGAGCTTTCCTGAGACGGTTTCTGATAGTTTGTGCAGAATTAATTGGTTATGTAAACTGATTGTTTCTGGGTGGCTGGTTCTAAGACAATCTTTGAGGTAAATGTGCTGGATATGGAGGTCCTGGGGTGGCGGTGTTACACATGGTCTGCGGTTGTGAGTCCGGTTGCATTTACTGCCAAATTCTCTGAAACGCCTTTGGAGGCGGTTTATGGTAGAGAAATTAACATTTGATACACGAGCAGCAGCTCTGGTTGACATTACTGCAGTCAGCATGCCAGTTGCACGCTCCCCCAAACCTCGTGACAACTGTGACATTATGCTTTGTGATAAAACTGCACCTTTCAGAGTGGCCTTTTATTGTGGGCATTCGAAAGCACACCTGAGCACTAATCATGGTGTCTAATCTTGATATGGCACACCTGTGAGGTGGGATGGATTATCTCAGCAAAGGCTCACTTTCACAGATTTAGACTGGTATGTGAACAATGTATGATGGAAATGGTTTTATTGTGTATGTGGGAAAAGATCTTTGAGTTCATCTCATAAAAATGGGAGCAAAACCAAAAGTTTTTTTTATATTTTTGTTGAGTTTATTCCTTTTTTTTATAAGAATCATGATTCATTATTACCAAATAGCAGCACTTTTCTTATTTTGTCTAGCTCTATCTACAATAATGCTATAAAGAAAACACATTTTTATGCTTTTATGTAACACTAACAACAAGTGTCTCAAGTGGAGGAGTTCAGGTATTTTGGGGTCTTGTTCACAAGTGAGGGGCGGATGGAGGGTGAGATCAATAGACGTATCTGTGTGGCGTGGGCAGTGATGCGGTCGCCGTGGTGAAGAGGGAGCTGAGTCGGGTGGCAAAGCTCTCGATTTACCGATCGATCTATGTTCCCCCCCTGACCTATAGTATTTAGATCTGGGTAATGACCGAAAGGACAAGATGGGGAATACAAGCGGCCGAAATGAGTTTCGTTCTCAGGGTGGCTGGGCGCACCCTACCAGATCGGGTGAGGAGCTCAGTTACCAGGGAGGAGCTTGGGGTAGAGTCGTTGCTCTTCTACGTCGAAAGGAACCAGCTGAGGTGGCTCTAGCATCTGTTCTGGATGCCTCCCGGTCACCTCCCTAAGGAGGAGTTCCAGGCATGTCCCATTGGGAGGAGGCCTGGTTGAAGGCCCAGGATACGCTGGAGGGACTATGTCTCTGAGCTGGCCTGGTGTCGCCTCAGGGAGCAGCTGGAGGAGGTGTGTGTGGATCAGGAAGTCTGGGCATCTATGCTTAGACTGCTGCCTCCATGACCCGGCACCGGATAAAGTGGAAGAAAATGGATGGAAAAATAAAATGGATGGACTAAACACAATTCAAATAAAAAAGGTGCAAGACTTCCATCTGTTTGTGTGCTGGAAGTAGTTCAGAACCAGCTCTTTGTCCTGTGCATTTTATCCACAGCCTTTAATTCATCCCAAGTCGTGCTGAATTCCTATAAGTTTATTCATTCATTCTACTATTTTTTTGTTCGGCTATGAAGAAAATGGGAATGAATTATGTTTGTTTTCACTAAAGTGCAGTTTCTAAATCTTTAGGAAAGTATTGTTCCTTCAAATAATAACAACTAATACTTCAACCATTCCAATCATGCTAATTGTTATATAACATTGAAGCTTTTATTGTGAGAGTAAACAATTATGGCGGCACTGAATGGGAACAAAGAACAGAACAATACGGAGATGGGTGAATGGGAGCTTATACAAAGGCAATGCAAAGCTTTCATCTGCTTCTCCTCAGTTTGGCTCATTTCTACTAAATCTGAAGCCTTTGTTTTAACCTGGTCTTGTTGCCAACTGGATATTTATTTCCTTTGTTCTCTCTGAATGCTTTATTCTAATTTCTTTATTCATCTTAAATAAATTGTGTTGACGTTGCATGAGGAAAAAAAAAGTGAATCCTAATTTCCCCATTCCAGGAAAAATAAACTGTTCTTCTGCTGATAGAAAGCAAACTTTTTGTCTTTTGCTGTATTACTGAATAAAACTTACACAGGTTTCAGCCCACAGTGCACCTAGTTTGTGTCCCAAACCCTTTCCCCATCCATGTTTGCAAATTAAGGGTAATACACCAGCTCTATATTATAATATCACCACGTAGCTATGAAACCCTAAATGCATAGATAACATTGTCTTTGGTAGAATCATAATAAAACTAACTAAATGGTCAATAGTTACAGATTCATACAGTTTCAGTTAATCCAGCTAGAAATCACTAATCAGGCTCTAAATCTGGGTGTAGTGATGGACTCACATTAGGTTGTAACTTTGTGATGAAAGTTGTTGGGGACTATAACGGTGGTGTCTGATGCATCTACCTTAAGTATTCAGACCTGCTGTGTCTTTTTGCTGGTTTTAGGAAGTCATATGGAAGACATGTCCGATGTGGAATCGGAACCTGATCTTCCTCTAAAGAGGAAGAAGCGCAGAAGTCGGACCACCTTCACAGCAGAGCAACTTGAGGAGTTGGAAAAGGCGTTTGAGAGAACACACTACCCTGACATCTACACCAGAGAGGAACTGGCCCAGCGAACCAGACTGACTGAGGCCAGGGTTCAGGTAACACAATCACACAATTGGGGCCCAGCTTGCATGGTTGGGCTTGAACGTAATTTGATTTCCTTAAACCCTTCAAAATGTGAAGTGCATTAAAACCCTTCAAACCTGGACAGAATAATTACAACATGAATACAGACGCTTTAGACAGAGAATATATATAATATATTTATATCTTGGTCAGTCTGCATCAGCAAAGAACAGGGAAATGGAGAGTAAACTTCCTAATAGATAAAGAGAACTAAATATTTTTCATTTCCCAGACATTAAACCTCTGAGCAATACTAGCAAGCTAATTGGCTTTGTCAATAAACAGATTTGGTTTGAGTGACAAATTTGCTTGACTGATCCGGTACAATTTGCATGTTTTCTAAGCCAAAACAAGACTTTGTTGTGCAACTCTCTAAAGCTTGGATCTCGACGCTAATTCAGACATTTTGAATTTAAGAAGCTTCCTTGATGGGAACCGAAACATCTTCAAACTTGGAAAAGAAAGTCCAGTGTATTGTTTTTTAACTTTTGTTGGAATGACTATGACCTGGATGACTGAGAATTTTCACCAGCAAGCTGCTTTACTGAACGCCATTTTGCAAGTTAAATATTTACTGTAGTT